ATTTTTGATTGTTTCAAGCATTAAAGACCAATGCCTTGTCTGCTAAATTGGTTTACTGAAGTCGTGCTCCGCCACTGTCAAGCGCTCTGCAATGCTCCCCTGTGTCTGGAGGGCTATATAAATGCAAGCTGTTGTTGTTACAAGGCACTTTAGGCATTCTCTGCCTAATATCTTGATCAGTATAACTGCAGGATATTCTGTATTGTCTTATAGTGGACAACAGTGATATTTCTCACTGTGATTCTGAACCATAATTATCTGGACCTTTGTACAATGGGGAATAAAATGTAGCTAAACATTACAGTGTCATTGCATTAGGAATTTAGGCAGCAATTAATGGGAGGATGTTTTCTCAGCTGAATATGTTTAAATTCTGCTCGTCCTTGGAAAAAACGAGGTTTGTCTCATTTATTTGAATATTTGCAGTCAACCAATTTTTCATTTACTGAAAAGATTTCAAATCACTTCTTTCAGCAATCATTGTTTTCTTACAAATCCATTTCTTAAAGCACCTAATTAATTTGGTTAACCGCTCACAAATTTTATTTTAAATCTGGAATAATTGGGATTTTAAAAAGTTCTTCCCTTTTATCAGAACCACTGGCATCTATGAAGAATTGGTATGGTATTGGGGTCAATTTAGTTGTCCGTTTTCATATGCAGCATATTGAATATACCTGGGTGTCTATCATAGTCCTTCTGATATTCAGCTCAATAGTAATTATTTCCTGGATTGTTAAACTGTCCCCATTGTTTTTGAGCACTGTGATACTGAAACAGATCTTAATATTATGGTGGTACAAATATTGTACAACTATAAATATTGTACTACTATCATTTTGAACGATTTTAAACAAAACCAAAGGTTTAGAAGCTACTGTTCTCCTTTGAATTTTCTCCTTTCTTCTTTTCTGATGTACTTACCATTTTAACTTATTTTTTACATTATTTTTTTCTTTTGACATTAACTAGAGATCCTGTCTCCCTGTTCAAATGGACGTAAAAGATCCCACGGCAGTATTTGAAAAGAGAAAGGAATTTTCTCCAGTGTCTTGTCCAACATGTACATGGTTATGGCACATTTGTGGACTTGTGGAGTCCTGTAGCTCAGTGGTTAGAGCACTCACCTCGCAAGCGAGACACCTGGGTTCTATGCCCAGCACAGCGAAATGTTGGGCAAGTTTCCTTACTGCACACGCCTCTGTTTACGTAGCAGTAAGTAGGAACCCGGTTGTTAGTCGATTGGTGGATCGCTTTTCTGGGGATAATAATCGCTCAAAAAAAAAACCAATAATAATTTGGTCACTCAATCCATGGCTGTTTGGGGGACACTGTTGTGCGCAATTGGCTGCAGCATTTCGCCCACAAAATGTAGTCAATTAACTTTACAGTATATTCTGTGAAGCGCTTTGAGATGTCTAGGAGACGTGAAAAGCGTTATATTACATGCAAGGATTATTATGTTATTATTAGTTGCCTTCAAAATACAGTCACTGTACTTTACAGTGAAATCCTGTGAAATGCTTTGAGACAAGGGAGGGATTATTATTAGGCGTGTGGAGTAAGGAAACTTGCCCAAGGTTTCGCCCTGCCTGGAATTGAACTCAGGAATACAAAATACAACAAAGTTTCCTGGTTGGAACATTGAGAAAACATGGAATGTAGAAAAATATTCAACTCACCAAGTCCCTTTCTAACTCAATCCACACAACAAAAACACCCCCACTGTAAATTCCACTCCATCCCAATCAATCTCTGGAACAAAGTTCATGAGTGAAACGTGACATTTTATCTCTTTCCTAACTCAGCAGGACTGAACCCAAACACAGCTGTGATTTTTCTCATTTTAAAGCAGTGAGAGCAGCCAATATTATTCAGTGCTGCTGTTATGCCTCATTTTCGAATCAGTCACTGATTTCAAACTGGTACCTGCAGTATAATTTTAATAACACTCTTATTTTGGGAAACAAGCTGCAAAATCTAAGAGGTGAGTTGCATCAATGCTCTTTCTGCAGCAACGCACAGGATATAGGGGACTTCAATAAAACATATTTAATAAAAATTGTATAGTCATTTAACATATGAATGTCATTCACATACATATCAACTAAATCCTCAGCTTATTCATTTAAAAATAAGACTAGTTTTTCTCAATGAAACAGAGCAGGTCACTATATATAATACAAAAAGCCTGTTTCCCAGTCAGGTTGTTCTGTTGTTGAGTAGTGGTTCAGAATAGCAAATGGCAGAAACCACATTGAAATATTACACCATCAAAGCATTTCACAGGATTTATTGTCACGTGCAGTGCTGTGTATTTTGTAGGTGAACCCGGCAGCCAATTTTCACATAGCAATGTCTACAAACAATCACAAAGTGAGTGAATTTTTTTTTGAAGAATAGTGGCCAGGACTCTGGGAGAAAACACCCTTCTCCTTAACATCCATCTGAACAGCACACAGGAACTTAGTTTAACGTCTCATCCAAAGGATGGAACCTCTAACAATGCAGTGCTCCCCATCATTACACTGCAGTGTTAATCTATACTATGAGCTCAAAGACTCAATGTGTAGCTTGAACCCACAACATTATGACTCACTAAGAACTGAGTCTAACTGACAACCAATGATATGCATTACTGCATGAATTACAGGTGGTTTCGCACCTGATATGAGGGAAATCACCCCTATAGACTTCAAATTCCAAGGTAAGCTCATGTTGAGAAAACAACCAGAGAACTGTGGAAAATAGACTTCCAAGTTATAACTGGATTTTTAGGAATTCTCGAAAACTCTGCAGTATTAAGACAATGACCTTAAGGCAGGATTTCGCCCACAAACATACAGTCAATTCACTTTACAGCATATTCTGTGAAGCGCTTTGAGACGTCTAGAAGACGTGAAAAGCGCTATATCAAATGTAAGGATTATTATTATTATTATGAGGTCCTCAGGAGCACATCCAAACCACAGATCCATACAATCTAATACAGAAATTTTATTTCAGCCACAGGTATACAATGTTTACTTCATTTCAAGTAACATAAAAATTGTTGAATTTAAAATCCAATCCATAGACTTTAAAAAAATAACACTTCACGATGTTTCTTCTCTAAAATGTCTATGTTTGTTATGTTCCTTCAATGATGACGTGCGTCTATTATGTTAGTGTCTGAAAATGTTATAGGACAGTTTGGAAACTGGAGGTTGAAGAGAACCAAGGAAGGAATTAGAGAATCAATCTAGATAGCACCAGAATCCACTCAATCCATTTCATCTCTTAGCATCTCTTAACATATCACTAGAATTTCAGTAACCAGCTGACAGGTAAGAAAGATGGAATAGGAGCTAGAATGGGAATGACCTCAGGCATCCCAGGAGATCTCATATATTATTAGATCAACTTCAGTCGCTGCGCCTTTGGGCAAGCTCCAGCACTGCACTTTGGAATTACACATACTTTGTCCTACATTAGTGTCCTTCCGAACGAAACAATCCCTCAAGGATTTATAAAAAGTAGAACATTTACAAAGATTGTGTTTTTAGCAGCGATCATTGAACCACGTGGTTTTGGCTGATGGGTCCATGCTGCAGTCCTGGCAGAAACAGCTACTGATGGAAGGATCATTACACATGGCTAAATCCCTCGGCCCAAATAATTATTGTTATTTGGTAATGGAGCCAGCCTACCAGCAAGCATTTATAATCATATGCTTGCAATTCAGGGGTTGATGTAACATTATAATCTGAACACATTTGACTCCAAGTCTTTATTGAACAGAAATCATCTGGAAAGCGCCAATTACATCAAGATGCTTTGAACTTCCAAATCAAGAGCTCCCATTAATGTATTGTGTTACACGGATACCAGCGATGTTTCCTCCGCAGTTAAGACTAAATGCAACTATTGATAACAACTACACAAGAATCTGATTGCAATAATTTCTCCTCTCAAACATACTGTCTTTTCACCTATCCGCATCCCATGCAATTCAGAAATGATATCAACAAATATTTAACCAATAAGTCTCACAGGATAAGAAGCTGCAATCTGAAACTTACAACAATAATTAAAACTGTATTTTCAGAGTAAAAAAAAGTTTTGCCCTATTCCTACAGAGAACAGAATTCAAGAAATTATGCCATTCATTTGGCGAATACATTATTGTCTACTTAAATCCAATAGCCAAGGGAGAGTCATTTGTCAATGTAATGCAGGTCTGTCTTTGGATGCAAGACCAATCAATACATTCAGTAACTTGTAACCCTGTAAGGGCCCAGGTTTCATTGAATAGGTTAATTTGGTGAAGGCACGTAGGTAAACATTACACAACTGTGCACGAAAAGGTGCTACTAAATACATCAATGTAAGGACCAGAAGCCACCAACAGCAGCTGTACAAAATGCACAGTGCTCACCGTTTTATAAAACCAGCTTCAGGGGTTGACAGTAGGAAACTTGCATACAATTCAAAATTAATGTTGCTGAATACAGAGCCGTGATAAGGAACTAACCCCGACTCCTTACAACACACAGAATTTCCTTTTGGCAAGTTTCAATGAGTCAGGAAACCGCAGCACCAGAAATGAAACACGATGCTTGTGTGTGCAACACTTTGAATCTGTTAAGATAATAATAAAATCTAATCAGATCCATCAATAAATTGTTACAGAACATCTCGCCTCCCCTCCCCCCTCACAAATACACACACACAGACAAATCTTCCGGCACTATGTCTCTATGTGGAACATCTCTTATTTATGGAGCAACATGAGAAAAGCAAAGCTTTACTGTTGCTTTACTTGCTGAAATTAACAACGGGTCAGTTTAGGCGGATACACAACTTCCAGCAGTCGCTTTCTATGTACAACTCCAATTAAACCAGTCATCATCCTGCGTTGATCTAGTGACTAGATCTAGTCTCTCAGGTCTGCCCTAACAGTGGAGGCTTCCCATTGCCTCCGTCTCGCAATGAAGGGCATCGCAGAGCAAGTCAGGTCAGTTTGTGTGGGGGTGTTTGCGCGAGGAGCTCTGAGCCAGGGCTATGTTCGTCTCTGATACCTCACTGCCAGATGCCACCAAGTTGTAGAAGCTTGGCAATCGGATGTCAAAACGAAATCCATTGCTAAAGTAGGCTTTGTCGTTTAATGAGTACAACTTGTCGGCAATGTCCTTCCCGATTAACACGGAAAACAGTCGAGCGATGCGGCGATGCTTGGCGAACAGCAAGTAGAGTTTCTTTCTCCTCCACGCCACATAGCGACAGTCTGTCTCTGCTGTGAGTGTCACCTGAAAGGGACCGCGTTCAGATGAACAGTAAATTTAATGTGCATACATATCGCAGATCCAACTGGCTGCTGTTATTTAAAAAAAACAATGTATCATTATTAAAAACAGGATAGAATAGCATTATTCCAAGATCAGCATCGCACTCACAAGACTTGCAATCTGAATCCTAAAGGATCATTCCCACTCCCCAATCCCGAGCAAAGGAAGAAATGCACATGCCTTCAGTTCTTGCGGATCCGGGATGTGATGTTAACCCGTGTCACGGTATGGACTGTAACCTCAGGTCACTCGGGTTACAATGTCCTCAATATCATCACTGTGAGCCGATGCTCTGATATACAGGAGACATGAGGACCTGGACTTGTCCCATTCAATGCCATCTCAGTGCCTCGCAGCCACCACAACACTTCAAAGTGGGGCTGCGTTTAAAGGTTATATTTACAATTTTACTGCAAATCTCCGCTGATTTATACAACGGGTTAAAGCAAAAAAAAAAACCCTATATATATATCCACGCACATATATAGTTATTTGTTTGGAATTTGCAACGGTATAGGGAAAAGGCAGGTAAATGGTAGAGGAGTGAATAAATTGCTTTTTTCAAACAGATGTGATTTCACTGACACGATGAACCAAATGTGTTCTTTGTGTGTTGTTCAGTTCTATGGTGTTAAAGAACAATAAAAAGTCATTTTAAAGAAAACATTTTAACCAAGGCTGTTTTCATCAAGGCAACTGAGAAACAAGCGACCCATTTAGTGGTTAGATACTGAGAGAGATGGGGTTCATTAATAAAAACTAAAAGGCACTAATTAAACAAATTATACTTGTTTGGGTGTTAATTCACTTGCTGTTTTATCCACACTGGAATAACAATTAGGAAGCAACTCTCCATCTCGTAGCAATCAGTTACTCAGCACTTTACCTGGAAAGTCCCTTCTTCCGATGGTCTGAGTGAATCCCATTCAGGGGAATCCAAAAACTGGTAGGGATAAATGTAATGTAAAAATTCTCCGTTCACTGTCACCCGAATCCTGTCAACAACAATGGAGATTTATTAACAATGTATGAAACCAACAGACATTGATGCAGCACATCTGTCTTGGTGTAATCTACCAGCAACCTTGAGCGTGCAAGAACTATCATAATATGCGCATCTCATATAATACAATACATTTTGGATTTCACAACTACAGAAACATCTGACACTCCAGTGCAGGACCAAGCGAGCGCCACATCATCAGAGTTGCCATTCCTTCAGAAGAGAAATTAAACCAGTGTCTCCTTCGACTGATCAGGCTGACCTGGATGTCCCACCTCATAACTGGAAAAGTGAAGGGAGTTTCTGCTGGTGTCCTGGCCAACAATCCCCATGTCATTCAACCAAGACTGTTTGTGGGACATTGACGTTCCCAAACCAGCTGCGTGTTTGCCCACAAATAAACAATCACAACACTTGTCAGCAATTCCCTGTGAAACCCGTTGAGACGTGCAGAAGCTACAGACATTACATCAGCTGAAAGAACTATTTTTATCTCTACTTCAATTGGCTAAATCACCCCTCCCCTGGTTCTACATTAAGGTTAGGGAGGATAATTCAGGATGAACTTCTTTACGCAGAGAGTGGTGAGACTGCAGAACGAAATGCCGGCAACTGTGGTCGAAGCAGAAATAATAATAATAATCCTTGCATTTGATAGAGCGCTTTTCACGTCGGGAGGACGTCCCAAAGCGCTTCACAGAACACACTGTAAAGTGAAGTGACTGTATATTTGTGGGCGAACGCGGCAGCCAATTGCGCACAGCAATGTCCCACAAACAGTCGTGGATTGAAAATGACCAATTTATTATGGTTTTTGGAGGGATTATTATTAGGCGTGTGGAGTAAGGAAACTTGCCCAAGGTTTCACCCTCTGCCTGGAATTGAATTCAGGTCTCTCGCTCGCAAAGCGAGTGCTCTAACCCCTGAGCTACAGGACTCCAGAAATACAAACACATCAGTGTGTATTGAAGAGAAACCGAGTTGAAGGAGAAGGGTCCAGAGGTGGAGGAGGAGGAGAAGAAGAAGAAGAAGAAGAAGAGGGCTGTCTCGGGGCTGTTAAATAACGTGTACGCGATGCCCCGGAGCAAAGTGGTCGCGTTTTTAAAATGAATTTCCCCACAAATGGAGTGGGAATGGAGGGCATATCCTTTGCTCGGAGATCACCGACAGGTGTGAAAGAGAAGGGGCAGGGAATTGGATACCAGTGCACACAACACACACTCACACACACTCTCCCCCTTCGAGATGCTAAGACGAACTTCACGGGACACACACACACACACAGACACACACACACACCGCAGTATATGCTTTTTAAATGCAGACGCGCAGTAGAGGCACGAAGCGGTCCGCGGGTGTGTGTGTGTGGGTGTGTGTGTGTGTGCGCGGCACCGACCTGCCGACCAGGAGGAGGGATAACTTTTCGATGGCGGTCTTGCCCTCCACGGCGTAGCAGTGGTCCTTCCCCAGGGAAGCGGGGCTGCAGCCGTCGGCGACCTTCTTGTAGACGGTCAGGGGGACGCCCAGCGGCTGGAAGAGCGCGCCGTACAGGGCGTGGAAGTCCTCCCCGAAGGACACGCCGCGCAGGCGGTAGGCGACGTGCACGACCTGCCCCGCGCAGATGGCGGACAGGGCGAAGCTCCAGGTGAAGGCATCGGCCGCGCACAGGTCGGTCCAGGACCAGGCGCCGGCGCACAGGAACCCGCAGCACAGCAGCGCGCGGCTGCACAGGAGCCCCGCGAAGCCGCCGCCGCCGCCGCCCATGTAACCCAGAAGGAGGAACACGTTGGCCAACTGGTAGGCGGCGCCGCCCGCCCCGCGCCTCCAGCCGGTGCAGGGCTGGTGCCCGTACCACACCGCCTGCCACAGGGTGACGTTCCCGCTCTCCATCCGCCCGACGGCACCGAGAGAGAGACAGAGAGACAGAGAGAGACCAGAGAGAGAGAGAGAGAGAGGGTCGACCCCCCCCCACCGCCACCACCGCCCGCGGGAAATAACACGAGGAACTAAGTCACCCGCCCCCGGGGGGGGAGTTTGCAAAAGGCGGCGGAGGGCTGCGCTGTGTGAGCCATCCCCTCCCTCTCCCTCTCCCTCTCTCTCTCTCCCCCTCTCTCAGCGACTCTCTCCGCCCTCGGTTCTCGCTGTCGGTGACGGGAGCGCACCCGAGTCAAGTGTCTGTGGGAGGAGGGGGGCGTTTTCCCGGGTTTCTCTGCCGGACCGGTCCCGGTGGGTGAGGACGGAACATGTGCCGCCGTCGGTAACTCGCTCGCCCGCCCGCTGGGATTTCGCGAGGTCCTAGTGACCATCGGCTTGGAGTGCAGGGCCACCCCACAGCCATGCCATCTTCATACGACTTGTACACCCATGCAGATCATCATCATCATCATAATAATAATAATAATACTAATAATAATATTAATAATAATGATGATACTTCTTTGCATTCGATATCGCGCCTATCACGTTCTTTACGCGGCTCCAAGCGCTTCACAGAATATACCCCAAAGTGAACTGACTTGACTATGTTTTGCAGGCAAAACCTGGCAGCCAATTGCACGCCGCAGTGTCCCCACAAACGGTCATGGATTGAGCGGCCAAAGTTATTATTTTTATTTTCCGGAAGGGATCATTATGCCCGGAAAAGTGATCCGCCAATGGGGATCCTACTACTGCGAGGTAAACAGTGGTGTTCGAGTAAGGAAATTTGCCTGATGTTTGGCCAGGCCTGGGAATCAAACCCAGGTCCTCTCACTTGCGAGCTGAGTGCTCTAACCCATACCCTACAAGACTACACTGTGCTTTACTTCAGTATTTTTAATTCCATTGGTAGCCATGCCTTCAGCCACTATGACCCAAATCTCACCTCGAACCCCACTTTATCTATCTTAAAATCCCACCTGAAGACCTACCTCTTTGACCACACCTATCATCACCCCCTTCTCTCTTTCTCGAAGTGCAAACCCCACCACTGGGCAGAGCTGTGAAGCACTATCCTGTGTGAAGGATGCTGTGCAAAATACAGGTTGTTGTAATAAAACATGAGTCAGGTGGTGGTAGAACTCTTTTGGGTCTGAAGACTTTACCCTTATTTTCAGCTGACACGCATATTGATTGTTGAATTTAATGTTAAGGAACATTTTCCACCACCCATTTAACAAGGAATTCTGTCTGGGGTTCTGTCTGGAGCAGAGCCATTCCCTTTAACATTCTGTTGGATGCAGAGTTGTAAGCACCAAGTTAATTGTTACTTAGTTGAACCAGGTATCCTGGGACATTGGATGCAATTTACAATGGTTTCTTCACCCATTTCTTGGATTAACCAGGTGGTGTACAATACCTGTTGATACACAGTACACATTTTCCCAGTCTATCTGTGCTCCTGGCAACTACCAGGTGCAGTCTTTCAAGACCCATCTCTTTTCCAACAGTTCCCACCTGAGCTTGGGTGCCCAGGCCAGTACTGTTAAGCAGTTTGGGACACCTTCCCAAAGTGAAAACTGCTATATGAATGCAAATGTGTATTGTATCTTGTGAGACATCTCAGAACTGATGGAGTTAAAATTGTAGTATTAATAAAGGCAACTAGCCCTTGATTATTGCCAGGATTAACAATATCAACAACAAAATTGCATTTGTTTAGCACCTTTCACATTGGGAAGATATCCCAAGGCACTGGACAGTCAGAGTTTCGGACCTGAGCTGGGGGTTGGGATCGGAGAGAGTGGAGGGCGGGGGGGAAGGCGGGTGATCGAAAGCACGGTCGAAGAGGAGGGTCTTGAGATGGGTCTTGAAGGAGGTAAGGGAGGGGATGAAGTGGAGGGACTGCGGGATGGAGTTCCAGAGGGTGGGGTAAGAGTGGCAGAAGGCCCACCCGCCAATAGTGGGGTGAGCGAAGCGGGGACATGAAGCAGGCCGGAGCAGGATGGTAGGGGGAAGGGAGCGAGCAGGATGGTAGGGGGTTAGGAGGTTGCAGGGATAGCGGGGAGCAAGACCATGGAGGGCTTTGAAGGTGAGGACCAAGATCTTGAACTGTATCCTCTATGTGATGGGAAGTCAGTGGAGTCGGGCGAGGATGTGGGTGATAGGGTCATGGAGCCTGGTGCGGGAGAGAACGTGGGCTGCAGAGTTCTGGATGATCTGCAGCCTATGGAGGGAGGAGTTGGGGAGGCCAACAAGCAAGGAGTTTGCAGTCAAGCCTCGATGTAAAGAAAGCGCGTATGAGGGTTTTGGGGGCCTGCAGTGTGAAACAGTGGCAGAGCCGAGCGATGTTGCGGTGGTGGGGGAGGGGTCATGGCACAGATGTGGGGTACAGAGAATAGTTGACAGTCAAACAAGACCCCAAGGTGCCAGACTGGCTCAGTGAGGTGGAGTGTGCATCCATGGATGGTGATGTTGTCAGTGCCTGAGGTGTGGAGGCGCTGACGGGAGCCAATCAGGGGAGCCTCGGTCTTGTTGAAGTTCAACTGAAGAAAGTTAGCTCTCATCCAGGACTTGATGTCTGACAGACATTCTGTCAGGACAGCACTGGCCCTGGAGTCGAGGGTGGAGGCAGAGCGGTACAGTTGGGTGTCATCCGCATACATGTGGAAGTCTGTGGCTGATGTCATCAAGAGGGGGCATATAGATATTGAAGAGGAGGGGACCAAGGACAGAGCCCTGAGGAACCCCACATGGGATGGTGGGGGTTTGAGGAGAAACCGTTTGCGGAGGTGAGGTGGAGGTGGTGTGAGAGGTCCGATCTGAACCAGTCAAGGTCAGAACCGTGAAGGTTGAGGTGAGAGGAGAGGTGATGGATAAAGATAAAGTCGTTGACGGTGTTGAAGGCAGCAAAGAGGTGAGGGCTGTTTCTATGCTGTGGGTGGCACGAAAAGCCAATTGGAGGGGTTCGTGAAGGGAGTGGTGGGAGAGGAAAGAGCGAAGCTGGGATGCAACAACTCGTTCCAGGACCTTGGAGAGAAGAGGGAGATTGGAGATGCTGTGGTAGTTTGAGAGTAGAGATGGGTCCAGAGAGGGTTTTTTAAGGATAGGAGTGATGACGGTCATTTTTAATGTTTGGGAACAGTACAGAATGTAGTAGAGAATGTAGTGCTAAGAAACATGACAATTTTGACCCCAATTGGAATTATTGTATTTGAGGAGAGGTGTAATGCTTTTTCCAACGAAGGTTATCCCCACAGACAAATCTGAATCCTCCCAAACTCTTTTAGGCCCCAAGTTGTCAAAGGACAATTAGGACCCTACAGTTGCCCACAGCAGTGACCTAGAGTGTAGAATCATCAAAAGTCTGCAGCCCAGGAAAGAGTCCATTTCACCCATCTTATCAGTGCTGCCTGCTTCTCCCACTGCAGCTATCTGTTCTCATTCCATTCCTTCTCCTTATCTCCGGTTTGTAGGCCACCTCCATTAAACAAGCCAGGAACACCCCCTCTCTCTCTGTTTCTCTCTGGGTTAACCATAAAATAATAGTATTACACACATAGAGTTTGACATTTTGACTTTTATCTCTGTGCATTTGGTCATTTGGAAAGTCATGTCCCAAGGTAATTAAGATCAGACTATATATAGAAACATTTTATCCGAAAAACTAAATTGTTTATGTTATTCCAAAATAATCCAGGCCGCTCTCTTATAATTCATCGAGAATTGGAAAGGTATTTGACTCGTTAAAGCAGATTTATCTTATAAGAGGCTTGAGCCTCCTTATGGAGCAGTGGGTTTCATTAGAGATTAGGTAAATAAAGCTGCCAGCTTTCACTGTATCTAACTTCAGTTTATATTGAAGATTCATCTCATAAAAGGGAAAATTGGGGAATTGCAGAAACAGTGTTTAAATCTTAAATCAATGGTTTAAATGTTCAATGTCACTGAGTAAACATCAGTGACATATTCAGCAGAATCAGATGCTGAATTATTATATATATATCATTATATAAAGCAAGATGTATGACCCACCCTGTTACGCGTTAAAAATAGATACAAATAACTGTCTCGCATTACCTCTATTTTTGTTGCAGGAATGGGCGCTATGTGAAAACGTGCTCATCATGAAGCTGCAGTCACTGACTGGAGCTCCCGAGGTGATCATTAGTCCAGTTATTGAACCACTTAAGATGAAGGTGAGGATCAGGATTTGGCCTCTCCACCCTGTCTCCTCTGACGGTTGATCTCTGACCCAAGAGTTAGCCCCTTTGCAGCAAGGATGCGGTGGGTGAGGAATGAATAAGGACAGTATAAGCTTTGGGAAATTGTTATTGCTGTTCTGTGACACATCACACCTGCCTGACACTGTCAGTGGCTTCTCTTCCTGTGCTCTTTACAATAGATACTTGCTTCCCATCAACGTAAGGATCATTTCTCGGAAGCATTTGTAAAGAAAAAGACCAAGGAAGGACAGGTGGGACTTTATAGAAATCGCAGAAGTTAAATCAATTTCAGTGCTAAGACAACAAATGCATTGACTGAAACATAAGATTGTGTTTATCTCAGTAGATCATCGAGAAGTAATAGAGTACTCAGACACAGTTTAACCCCACTCCCCCATACTGTTAGCACTCTTATTTAATAGTTATTACACTGCACAGATAAACTGTCAATTAGACAGAAATCTACACCACAAATGCTATCTACAGAGGTGAACAGACTAAAGCAGAATTCCCCGCATATTGTATAATTAACATTGATCGCATAAAATGTACATTAATGTAACTGTCACTGGGCACTTTTGAAGCCACTTTCAGGATTTTGTTACTAAGCAAATCAAAACACGTGATACAGTGTTTGGTTGACGCTATTTTTGACTGCACTTTTGGCAACCCCTCCACCCCAGCTGAGGCTCCCAGCCAGCTGTGTGAAGCCTTTGAAATATCCTCCCAAAATGAAAGGCATTTTATAATTTTAAATTGTTGTTGTCATTGACTATCATGTTTGATATTCAA